ATCCCACAACAGACCACTCAAGCACCTCTGGCAACTTAAGAAACTGGCACTCCACTGACATAATAAAGCAATATATGGAGGACTATGGCCTTAGCGACAGTTGGAGAATGAGGAACCTTTCTTTGAGGGAATATTCATATTTTTCAACAGTTCAACCAATGTCTCCTGTCTCTCTGTCTATAAACACTCAAAGACATGCTAAAACTTCAGCTACTTGGTGCTTCAATAACTCACTGTTAGAAGACCCCAACTTTACAACCCTTATAAGGCGAGAGTGGGCATTCTTTCTGGAGATGAACGACTCTCCAGACACCTCACCTTCACAGCTGTGGGAAACTGGGAAGGCCGTAATCAGAGGAAAAATCATATCGTACGCTTCATACAGGAAAAAACAGCAACAACAATTGGAAAATACATTAGAACGAAAAATCAAACTCCTAACAAATGAAATATACAATATATATAATAAACAGTAAATATTTAGCAAATCTATCTAAATCACTCACCAACCGACCCAATCAGAAATCGACACCTTCTTAAACAGTCTGACATTACCAAAATTAACTGCAGAACAAATAGGTAGCCAACGTTCAACACAAAATCAGTTTATATGCAGATGATCTTTTACTTTATTTACAGAACCCACAAGTATCACTTAAAGAAACGTTCAGTATCATCAACAGATTCTCCCTTGTCTCACATTACACTATCAACTGGTCAATTTTAGTCAATTTTACTACCCCTCTCAGATGATGTTTGGGATTCTGGAGCCCAGGACACTTCCCTCCACCTTCACACAGGCAACATCAAGTACCCAGGGATTCAGATTTCCCCCAGGCTGTCAGAGCTTTTCACCCTCAACTACACTCCCCTCCTCAGGAAAATTGAAGACGAATACAAACGCTGGTCAAAACTCCCACTCACACTCATCGGAAGAATAGCTGCAGTCAAAATGAAAACCCTACCCCAGATGAACTACCTTTTTTCTATGATCCCCATCACTCCTACAGACAAATGGTTCAAAACTCTCAATTCATTAACAACACAATTTTATTGGAAAAACCAAAAACCCAGAATATCACTCACAACTCTACAAAATAAAACATCACATGGGGGGCTTGAGGCACCAAACTTCCATCACTACTTCCTGGCAAATCAATTACAGTACCTAGTTAAATGGATTAATATACACAAGCACAATTACCGATGGCTGGAATTGGAACAAAACCAATGTATAAATATCTCAATTGCAGACCTCCCCTTTCTCTCACAATCAATCAAGAAATCCAACTTCTGCCAACGCATTACCATCCATTCAACTCTGACAGCCTGGTGGAAAACGAACCAAATCACAAAATCATCACTAGAATTAAACAAGTTCACCCCATTCTGGCACAACCCAGTGTTCATGATACAGAACAAACCTCTTTATTTCGCCACATTGGCAAAAAAAGGAATCACACATTCACCACCTATTTGAGAACAACCATTTTGTGTCATTTAACACACTCAAACAGAAATATGGGGTTGGGAGAGAACAATTCCTTCAATATCAACAACTTAGACTTAAAATTAAAGATAAAACCGGACTTACCAACAACACATTACAACCCTCTCAGCTTATAGAAGAACTTATGAAAATTAATAGCTATATACAATGATTTCCAACCTAAACACAAAAATAACACTCTCAACAACCAAGTGGGAAACTGACCTGGCCTTCTCTCCCAACCCTGATTACTGGGAACAAATCTGTGAAAACACATTTACCATGACCGATAACACAAACCTGCAGCTTATACAATATAAAGTCATTGACAGAACTCACATCACCCAAAGTAAAATGTTCAAAATAGGCCTAGCCAACACAGGTGTCTGTTCACAATGCACTTTAGGTAGCACAGACGTCTATTTGCACGCCATATGGTTCTGTCAACCAGTTCATTCTTTCTGGATTACAGTCACTGAGACACTGTCCACCATCCTGAGCTACAGAATCCCATCATCCCCTACACTATGTCTCCTTGGTGACATCTCCGAAATCCACATCCCGCAAAAATTCAAGAATCCATTGCTCATCCCTCTAGTTGTCGCTAAGAAAGTAGTCCTCCAAAACTGGAAATCAAAGAAATCTTGCCACATCAATCACTGGACAAATTTAATCTCAGAACACATTTCAATGGAAAAATACAATGCACACAGAAGGAAGCAAATATCAGCCTTTGAAGAGACCTGGTCCCCATTTTTAACGTTTATAAATTCAACAAAACATAACTACAAGCCGTGTATATTACCAGACGCATACCTCCCTCTTCCGTTATGTTTAAGTTTATTTATTTATTTACTTATTTTCTTTATCTTTCCCTTTTGTTTTTGCCCCTGCAGCTACCACTTTACACATACACATAGGCACACACTATCCACACTCATGCATAACATGATTGCCAACCCCTTTCTACACCCTAACCGTGACCACCTAATGTGAATCACAGATCATTCTACCCAATCATTAATAATATGCCCTTGTGTTTGTCAATTGTCTTGTCCAGTCATGTCTTGTCAGTTCTGATTTCGTCCTGTATCATTTCCCTCTGTTGTCTGTCTCTCACCTTGTTGCGTTGTATGTGTTATGTGTTAATTATATGCAAACCATGCTCTACTTGCCCCTCCGCTCAGACCCCTCCTCTCGACGCCAAAACAGTGACAGAAAGTTGAAACTGAAAATCAGTGACACTGAAAAAAAAACTGACATAAAAAAAATCTGTCACTGAAAAAAAAGTGACATGAAGGAAAAATCTGAAGATTGTCATTGAAAAAGACAAAAAAAATCCCAATAAAATAATATAATAAGATTTTAAGATTTTAATTATTTTAATTAGTTTATTTTTTCAGTGCCAATACAAATGTTTCAATGCCAGTGTTTTTTTTTGGATGCCAAATTTTAAAGTCACCATTCTGGCTCCATACCCCAGGTGCTATGTGAAAAAATTTGTGCGAATCGAACAAAGCGTGTAGGAAGAACACGAAAAAGTAGGCGAAAATTATAGGCGGGAGTGGGCTTGGCCTATATGAGGAGATTCAGCTCCATTCACCGAACGCGTGGATATAAGGTTTTTGAATGTGCGACAAACTATGCAGAAGTAGCACCACCTAGTGGCCAACCCGAAAACAATTAATAGAATATCCTATTTTCACCAGGCCTGACAACTTTGCCAAATAAATTGAGTTTTCGTATATGTTCAGGGGGGCAAAAATGCAGTCGAAGGGGGCTAAAGATAATAATAATAATAGGTAAGAAGAATTCTAGCAAATACAATAGGGAACTCCAGCGGTTGCTGGCTCTGTCCCTAATGCAGGATTTAACATACAAAACAAGCTTTTACAATAGTATGCATTCTTATAACTGAAACTACACCACAGGATAGAAAATTGTACAAGTTGGATCCACCTCAAACACAGAGCATCTAACACTAAAATATAAAATAATGTAAAACTCTAACAGCTAATAAGCTAATAATATTTCATTGTCTTTTTTTCAGTGGACATTTTACAGTGTGGTATTGCATATCTTAACTAAAAAGATTTTAATGTTTCCCCAACCACAGAAAATAACATAAACCTGGGCAATTGTTGTCTGCATTATTCCCTGTTACTAGATCTTCGTGCCAGGGATGCCCACTGAGTCCAGTGCTTTTTGCTCTCTACCTTGAACCTCTAGCACGAATGATTCGTTTAAAGAATTTTGTTATTCTTTTCCTCAGGAAGCACTTTTTGTTATCGTTGTCAATTTCAAACCAAGCTCTGTTGTTGGCTGTAAAAAAAAAGTAAATAACATGAAACTAATTACTAAAACAGATTACTTCAAGGTGCAAGCAAGCTGTCCATTGGTCCATCATGAAAAGGACTGCAGTTATAATGATGGTCTTATCAGGTCAATGTGAGCCATTTTTTTCCACAAATCTCTGAAGTTCAAATGTCTCAAAACTCAAATTGTAACATGAGTTTATCAATGAACGCATCACAATAATTATCTATATCTTTTCCACAGGACTGTGTTTTCTACCTTCCTGTTTTCCTCGTCTCTACATCTTTGTTGAACAGCCACCGACCTGGCCTCTGTGCACAATGAGCGACACTTGGCTCAGCTCAATACACTTTTAGATAATATTCCCAACGTCTGGATCGGACTGCAATCTGACAGTGCGGCATGGAGGTGGTCTCTGGAAGACCCGACTTACTATGGTAAAGGAGAGGCTGACTTCAGGAAGTGGTCTCCGATGGAACCTGATAATGACAATTACCACAAAGTTTGTGCGTTTATGTGGGCTTCAGAGGAATGGACAGATAACGGGTATAATCAGGGAAACTACTTCTACTGCTACAACAAAAGTAAATATATCATGTTAAACTGAGGTGATGAATGAAACAATTATGTGGTTAGTACTTGAAGGGCGAGCTCATGCTTCCACCTGTGAATGAGCTGCAACATTTCCAATTCTGTTTTACCCGTTTTAGATCACATCCAGTTTATCAATGTATGGCAAAAAACGTGACGTGCATATACATAAGTTTGAACTAACCTATTTCAACCTATAATATCATGACATCAACCTATCAATGTGATGGAAATTGTGTACTTAATGAAGAGAACTGAAGTCTTACACAGGAATGTTCAATGTAACCGTTTAAATGTGACCTGTGACCCTTTGTGTTGTTTTTGTGACACATGTAAGGTATTGAATAATCAGTCAAGGTATTGAATAGCCACTCATGGTTATCACTTCCTTCTCTGTGATTGATTCCTTTGGGTTCAGGAGGGCATTAATTAGTAACTATCTGAGTGAGGCCACACCCACAGATACAGATAAATACCAAGCTTTTCTCTTAAGATATTGAGTCTTCACTTTGTAACAGACCTGCGTGTTGCTCTGTGAATGTTCCTCTTGTACAAGATTAAAACCTTGTTTGAACTCTGAGCTGACTCCGATCTCCTTCCTCCAGTTCTAAATTATCACAGAATTATTTTAACAATCAATATCTACTGTTAAATTAGTATTTTCTAACACAGTTCTTAATGCTTAGTTCTGATGATTCAACCTGAAGAGTTGCATGTAGATTCGAGCTGTACAGGTGCTCCAACTGTGAGTCACATAACTTTTTCTGTGGGACTTTTAGTTTTAGTTTAGTTGCCTCCTCCACTTTAACTCGATAACATGTCAGTGTTTTGATCATAGCTGGTTGTGCTGCCCCCAAGTGCCCAAAGAAAATAATGAATGCAAGTTTGAACCAACATGGAGGAATACAGTAAAAAATAGCATGTTCAGATATTCATATTCATCCAGGATGATAAGTTCAACACTATGAAACTTTTAATCAATATTTCAGGTGCAGGAGAAACACAGAATATGTAATCGATCTTAATACGTGTAGAAGAAGGCAAGAACTGGGATGATGCTCAGAGTTACTGCAGGGAGCACTACACTGACCTGGCCAGTGTGAGGAACCAAGCTGAGCATGACTGGTTAGTGATGAATGGACATGGGTGGATCGGCCTCTACAGAGACTCATGGAAGTGGTCAGATGGGACTGCACATTCATTCAGTAATTGGGCTCCCAGTTCACCATCCAGCAGACTCGAAAATATTTGTGCCATTTCAAACTTGGGCAAATGGTATAACCATGACTGCAACTGACTGCGGCTGAACTTTGTTACGTTGGTGAGTTTTGATTTGCATATTGTTGTTCCCAAATTCTAACAATTCAATATTCACAGACAGTTTATGATTATTATCTTATTTTTTTACAGTTTAATCTTACATCTGAACATGAACATATTTCTATTCCCTTGAATAAAACAGATTAGGCAGTGAGGACGCAGGTGGTGCGGGTGGTGCTGAAAAAAACTGACTCCTCTGTGGACATAAAGTGGATAAAGTAGAAATGAGGCATTTACTCATTACTAAGTTACTAAGTACAGATAGATAAAGAGTTGATTCCATCAGTTTAAGTTGGTACTCATTAAAAAAAAAAGAGGATTGTTGAGTTGGGGTGAAGCAGGGATCAGACCACCATTCATTTAATTTATTATGATTTTATTAATTAAAGCATTAAAGCTTTAATTAAAATTTCACTGTCGCCATTGTCTCTTCCTTTCCATTGTCCTAATGCATTTGGATATTCTATTTTCTTTCTGTAATAGTTTTTTCTTTAGACAACATTCATTACATACACATCTGAGTATTTTTGTTGTTTTTGTTGTTTTTTTTAAATCCAACATAGAGACTTTCCACAATTTCTGGATAATAATAGTTTTGTTGAATATTGATAACAATCACCAGCATATTTTCCAGCTGTGTGAATAAAGAGGATGAGCTGTCCAGATAAGTGAAACAATTTTATTCGAAACACTGCCGATTTTTGTCTGATTGTCAGAAAAAAAGGTTTTTTTTTCATTTCTGTGTAAGCAAATTCGGAGCCAGTTCTTTCCTCCTTGGAGGAGTTAATGCTAATAGGTCGTGATGGTGGTGGAGTTTCTTTTCAATCAGCTCTTTTCACTTTGAGTGTAGTGATATGATCAGTGTTGGGCAATTATGGTTTTAGAATGATGGAGAAAAACAACTAGATACAAAATAGGTTGTAGGCTGAATGGGGGGATTTTATTGCCTTGGCAACTATCATGTTTTTCCCCAATGACGTACAAACAGTTTAAAGGCTTTGAAAATAGTGCCTATAGTTGCCCTAAATGGGAAACACTCTCCCTGGGGAAGAATGCCTCCGGATCCATCTAGGTTTGGTCTAAGCCCTGAATGTTTATGTCTGGTTTTGTCTACGTACATATCTGCAAAGTTGTTTGGTTTTATTTGTTTTTATGTGTTAAGTTTTAATATATTTGTCTTTGAGAATCTTGCTGCCACCTCAATACAAAGGAGGTAAATGGAATTTATTTGTAGTGTTCACCCCATTGAAAAATTACATTAAAAATTTAGCAGCATCTCTCTCCTGAAACAGTGTTGTTTTTACTCTGGATAATCCACAGGACATTCTGCCAGCAGTTTTCATAGGCACTATTTGTTTGGTAAAAAGTACACAGAAGCACAAAAAGGCATTAAGAATTTGAATCCTACAAGCAACTGAATGCCTGTTGTTATGAACCAGCTCAAAGTTCATATAAAACAAGGGAGACCACACATATCATTAAGATGTTTAAGAAAAAATGCATTTATTTAACTCATGTTTACTCTAAACAAAGTATAAAAAATAGATATGTACATCAGTGTTGTCAGTAGTGTAGTCAGTGTGTGTGTGGATATGGGCAGAGTGTCGTGTATGTAAAGGTAATGAGACTTAGCAAACCCAAAACACCAACAAACCCAGAACCTGCTGGCTGGAAGGAGAGAGAGAGAGAGAGAGAGAGAGAGAGAACTAACTAATTGAACCGCCTATATCCTTGTAATCAGGGAGGAATCAGGTGTAGCTCATCCACTAGCCACACCCCTGCCTCTCTGTCTCCTGCAAAGAACAAAGGGAAAAAGACCACGAATAACCAGAGTGGGAGGGGTCATCACACTATTGTTAAACTGTCATTTGAGTGAGCTGGCCCTTTAAGACACAGCTAAAACTGTTACATGTTGGTGTTTCTCAGTTTAACCAGAGACTGAACGACAATGGACTGACTGAAGACGTCAAACTGAGATGGGTGAAGCAGCCTGATGGGAAGATCTTCCACAAGGAAGAAAAAGAGGAGGAGGGGGAGGAGAAGATCTGTGACAGGGATCCTTACAAAATATTGACATGAATGGAAAGTTGCAATGAAATTGACAATGGATGCTTGATTTTTGATCCTGTATATCTAAGCTCATGATTTTCATGCTGTTACACTGCATTTAATTGAGTTGCAGTGGCACATTTAGTTGTAAGTTCAGCTACTAATGTCATAAAATACATACACACAGTGTGATTGATTACTGCGCTAATTATTACTTAAATGGAAGGGCTTTTCTTGGTTTTCATTTCCATGGTTATTTTTATTGTGCGTGTTAGTGAATTGATATCTAATGTTGATGATCATAATTTTTGTCAAGAAAGACTTGGAATGGTAAATAGTGTAAAAAGTATGGAGGTAGGAATGTGTCACAATTACAGAATAATAAACAACGATAAAATAATAATAATACATGTAAACTGTATTTTCTCCTTTCGGATTCGGGTATTGGCCATCAAAGCTTCCTCCACTGTAATAGCATGTTTGTTTTTCAAACATATACTTATAAAATCAGTGGGAGAATAAATTAAATCTTCTTTCATGGTCTTCGTAATAAACATGAAACAACTGTTTCAACAATGAAAACATTAAGAATTTATAGGACCAGTGTGGATATAGTTGCATCTAGTGGTAAATTTGCAGATTGTAACAAATTGAACACCGCTGGCATCTCTATTTGACAACCTGGGAATGAGTATGTAGGAGAAACTACAGTGGCTGCGAAACTCACGAAAGTCCCCATCTAGAGTCAGTGTTCCCCCACAAGAGTGCAGTGAGTGTATGTCTGAGAGGAATTCTTAATGGCTTATTATCAGAAAGAGGAGGCAATGATAAAAGGTATAAGTTTTGTCCTAAATCCTTATGCCTGCCACTCTGTTACAGCCATTAGTGCTTGGTAGTAGTTTAACAACCTTGCCAACTGGGCTCTTGGCAGTTGAGGATGAGAATGACAGTAATCATATGTATATCCTTTTTGAGGCTTCTGCCATTTGTGGCGTGACTGTAATTTAGGCAGGTCATGGATAAAATTTGTCCAGAACTGCCCTACCAGAACCTGGCACCTTCGCCGTCCCATGGACACTGGGGCATAAGCTACCTGCAGTAGGGAAGCGTCACACCACCTCATCAGAAGCATGTCTTTTTTTTACCGCATCTGAAGAATTGTTTGGCATACAATTTTTCCAGTTATATATAGTCCACAGTGACTATGAATGTCTTATTGTAATGGGGTACTGTATGCACAATATTTTCTATTTCACAAAATATCACTAAAATATTTAACAATACATCCAACACAAACAAATTGATGTGTGATTTTCTTTAGAACAATTGTGCCACCATATGGTTGATTATTAAGCATTTTATGTTTTTGCTAATAACTCATAAACTCATGAGTAAAAGAAACATTTTTGTACAGTGGGTTCCTTGGATGATGCCAAATTTTCTTGTATCGGTCACGCCATTTTTTTTTGTTTTTGGGGAAGACAATCTTTGCTTCATTTGGCACCTGTTTCATCTAACATTCACTAAAATCAGTGCAAAACATATTTAGATAAAGCAGAAAAAAAGACTAATACATTTGTGTTTGCGTATCACTTATCGTTTGTCTGTAGAAACATGGTGGTTCAACATGTCGGCTGCCATGGAAGGTGACCTGTATCTGTATATAAAAACAGCATAATCTAAGGTACCGAAAACATAATGAGTCTTATATTGACTGATTCTGATTATACACTAATGAAAACATATATGTGAATGTTATTATCAATTTCTGCTAATAGAGCCTCCTAAATGTCACACATGGACCTTTATTTCATTTTTTTAATTCAGGTTTTATTGAAGTTAAATAATTGTTTTTCAGAGGCAGTTGTTAGATTTGATAAGATTTGATTGAAACCATTTGACAATAATGTTAAAGTTACAGAGGTCAGGACAGACGTTAGTGCTGTAGATACAGGGCAGAAGTCAATGCTGTAGATACAGGGGGGATGTCTGTACTGTCTTTTTGATTTATATAATCCAGTCCATTAATTTGAAACTACCGTGAAACTACCGTAAACTAATGAAAAATAACTCTGGAGCGACCATAAAGTCCGTAAGGTATGTGTCCGTTCCTCCGTTATTTATATTCCTTTAGTCCAGAAGGGTCCACCGATCAAAAGAATCAAAGGGTTTCATCAAAACTAATCTAAATTGTGAATATTATCATGTGCAGTCTGTTTCTCGCTGTCTGTTTACTGTCTGTACACTGGCTGCCATAAATCTTCGGCTGTGTCATGGTGCGGCGGAGTTAATAGATTTCATTGACTCCATTATGAGGCATTATTATTAAGTTATAGAGAATAGGTCAGAGCAAGCCCACATTGTTATTGTTAAGTCTTCATTTTACTTATTATTCTTTTTCCTCTGTTTGTTCTTCTGACATTTCATACAGTTCTACCAACAGGGGCGCTACAGTGATGTCTTTAATAAGAGTAGTGCAGTGCCCGTAGGAAGTATGTATTGCTATAGAAAAGTATGAGGTTAAGTAGCTATTTCATGGATGGCCAAATGAGGTTGTGTTTGAAGGTGGGACGTCAGGGACATTTAGGACATATTATTTAGCCCTGTAATATAGGCCAGCATACATCAGAGAGAGAGAGAGAGAGAGAGAGAGAGAGAGAGAGAGATTCGGGAATCCAGCGCCAATTCTCCGCACCCTCCTCTGTGTGAAAGTTTCAGATGCGGCGAGGGGGGAAATGTTGCTCCGTCCCTGATCCTCCTCTGGGGGTAGTATCAGGGACACATTACTTTTTAACCGCCTCCAGTGTGAACGGATAAGCCGACGGCGCGGAGCGAGGGCGTGTCAGCCAGACAGTCTGATAACTGCACAGGTCTCTCAACTTAATAAAGAGAAATGTCCCCCAAAGCAACGTTACAGGACCAAACAACAGTAACGTAGAAACTGTAACTGTCGTTGGCAACTTACATGAGGAAAAAAAAATTGCACAGCTGTACGTGGAGAAGCGTCTGTCCTCCTGTCTGTCCTCCCACCTGTCCTACCGACTCTTTGTCACATTTCTGCCTGAAAAACAGCGTCTGTCACCGGCAAAAAACTAGCGGAGTGTTAAAACATTCTCCGTCTTGCGAGTGAGGGAGTCAGTTTACTGCTGGTGATTATTATGTAATAATTGTGTAATTTAGAGTGAAAAACGTAACTTTGTCACTTTCCAGGATGTTTGGTGGGTCAGGATCTCAATCACTACACATTATAACAGCATCCATATGATTCTAAAGTGTCCGTGGGTTTAGATTGACAGGGGGAGACAACTGGGCTCTGCAGTGATTGTCTCTGGTGCGCACGTGGCTACAGTGGCTATGGTTGACAATGCTAGTGGAATTCGTAAATCATTTATGAAATAATTTATTAACTGTATCTTTATAGTCCAAACAAAGCCGAAGGCTCCCATAGAGGGCACTGGGGTGCCAACCTCCCACCGACCTGCCCCTCATTTTTTTAATTAATTTATATATAATCTCCCATTTTGAAAAATAATCTGTGTTGATTACATGCTAATAATGATTTTACTTTAGAATGTGTTTAGATATCTGCATTCACGTTCAACGTTGCATTCACTTTCACGTTCAACGTGGTGTAGCCAATAGGCTGTCTTCCCTGGGCTCCAGTTTGCTCAGCACTATCAGTGCTGGAATTTAAGCCAATGGTTCCCCGGTTGCTACGCAAAAAAGTATATATTTTGCCAATCATCGTCGTCAAATTTTATGGTTTGGGGGCTCTGAAAATATCGGCCATAGTAACAAGATTAGAGCAGTGCACAACTGCAAGTTAGCAGACATTTACCTCAGAGAGGAGTGCGAGAGCAGCATGGCGACGTCGAGTGGCACTAATGTAGTCGTGGGAGTTCAGCTAGCCCCAAATTCAGTTAAATCTCTACACATGTATCCCTTCAAAAGAAGAACATTAGTGGAAAATCTAATTGTAAAAGAACTTGGACCAGACAAGCCAGAAGTAAATATAACCCAACAGGCGCGAGAAAAGGAGAAAACCTACAAGAGAACCTTTTCCCGAGGTTGGTTCGATCGAAAGGCTTGGCTAACTAGCTGTGGGTACGCCAATGCAATCTTTTGCTTCCCTTGCTTACTGTTTAAAACAAGTGCTTGTGATAGTTCATCGACACAGACAGGGGTGACAGACCTGAAACATATGTCAGAATGCATTAAGAAACATGAGCGGGCAAGAGTGCATATGGACAACTCTGTTAAGCTAGCCATGCTAGGCCGAATTAGCATATCCACACAGCTAGATGAGGGACACCGCATTGCCGTAAGAAAGCACAACGAGGAGGTGGACAGGAATCGGCATATTTTGTCAAAGATCATTGATGCCGTGAAATTTTGTGGTGCCTTTGAACTTGCTTTGCGTGGTCACGATTAGTGTGACACATCAGAAAACCCTGGCATTTTCCTGGGTCTCATTGATCTAATGGCCTCAATCGGCCATGATTTGGAGGTGCACCTGGAGAACGCCACTGTTTTTAAAGGCACTTCGAAGACCGTGCAAAATGAACTGTCAGACTGCATGTTGTCAGTTCTCAGAGACTGCATTCTGGAAGAGGTGAAACTGTCGGACTATATTGCCATTCAGGCAGACGAGACAACCGACATCTGCACTCATTGTCAGCTCGTGCTTGTGCTACGGTGCATAGATGGCCACAACAACATTCAAGAACGCTTTTTTGAGTTTATCACGCTTCCAAATGCGACTGCTGATACGATTGCCACTGCATTATTGGAAAGGCTGAGCACCATTCTTCCTGCGGGACGAGAGAAAATTAATTGCCCAGGCCTATGATGGTTCCGCAGTGATGAGGGGTGCTACAGGTGGAGTGCAGTGTAAAGTTCAAGACGTCTACGGGAGTGCCTACTACGTTCACTGTTATACGCATCAATTGAACCTCATCATGCAGCAGGCAACATCCCACATCCCAAAGATCGGCCAGTTTTTTTCAGACATTGGGGGTTTTTCTACATTTTTATTTTTACACAAGTCATTCAAACAAACGGCAGTGCTGGATGAAGTGGTGGCACACCAACTTCCAGGTACTTCAACAACGCGATGGAACTTCCGCAGTCGTGCTGTTAACAGAAAATTACATCTACAAATTTCAATCTTCCACATAAACAGCCCTACCTACAGTATTTTTCACCAGCCGCCACTGATACATAGCTGCTCCATATGCATGTGTAAAACAAAGTTTGAGTAAACACTTTTAAAAGCTGGGATGGCGAACAGCATTTGCGGTGTCAGCAGCAGCAGCAGATGCAGCAATCACATGCATTTTCTCTTTAGGAAATGCCAATATTCTAGTTTTATTGAATCCTCACAATGCTTATTATTATTATTATGAT